CCTAGACACTACAGAAAATGGGCTTAAAGTGTAAAAAACCGAACTTCTCCTTTAAAACCCCAAAAATATCCGCTATGGGATAGACTGCGACTTTAACCTTCAAACATTTAATTTCCCTTGGGATGAAGTATTTTTCATTTAATTGAGAAGGAAATACTGGTTTTATTTAATACGTAACACCAGGTTGATCTGCTAGCCTCAGTGGGACAGAATGGGAGAGAGAAATAAGAGCAGAAAACTATGTGGAAAAATAGAGATGGAGCATGAGGAGAGAAAAAAAGACGGCTTTGTTTGCCTTGCTCGTCAGATTGCCCTGATGTGATGAGTTCATAGTTTATGACATCATCAGTCAGTCACAACCTGTCAAAGAAACGTTATAATGATCAATAATCATTTCTTTTTGCTATTCCTCTCTATCCAAAGTTCAGGATCCTATTAACTGTTGCATTGTTGAGCAGGTTAACTAACTAACTAGCAGCCTTTTGGTTTCAGTCCTTTCTAGAATAACAGGACTGGTTTAAGTTTATTAGACTAATAAATGTGGAGCACAAAGTCATTGGGCTTCTTGCTCTTTCTCTCAATACCTGGGAGGCCTGTCTCTTCTTTCTGAGACTAAAGCTGGGCTTCAGCTAGACTGGTCACATTGTTTAACACATAAACATGTGAATCAGTCAGTCTGATGATAAAATACACATTTATTATCAGAAATTAGTCAGTAATAAATTAAATAGTATACCAGAATGAGCTTCTGCTTTCATGAGCAGCCATGTCTGTTCAACTAAAAATGTCTTTATTTTCTATCTAAAGTAATTGAGAATAACTGTGACTCATTCCAATGGTTCATCTATTCAGAACAACAAATGCTTTCAAGGAAACATTTCTGATTTTGTCTGTCGGTCAATTAAAACAGATGATTTCTCTGTCTTCCAGATCATCTGACCAGCCTCTGCCAACATGCTCCGCCTCCTGGTCCTCCTGTTTGCAGTCATGGCGCTGCCAGGTATGCACATAGAGGCTGTGATGTCTGATGGCCCCGTTATTAAAACTAGTGTAGAAACACGTCTAAAGTCTTTATTTCTGACTTAACTGAGTCAAATATCCTGACCTAACCTTCAGAACAGTGGAAATGATGAGAGGTTTCAACATACTTTCAGTTGAATCAACAAAAGACTTTAAAGATCTGATAGAAGAAAAACTTGATGTGACAAGTTGGTGACAGACCTTAAGTCACATCTCTCATGTTTCTGCAGGTGCTGCTGGACAATTATTTTCCAATTCTGAGTTAAACATCAGCTCGTGTCCCATCACGTATTTTGGACAGAAGTACGAAACACTCTATGTAAGTATTGTGCTATAACTGGAATTCAGACAAACATAGAGCTGGACTGAGAGGATGACCAGCAGGACCGAGGGACACAGAACCAGCACCAGGCCTGGGCCAAGTCAC